ACTCTATTGACAATAAAAGCTTTTATTGCCGCGTTGTTTGCAGAATATCTTTTAAACCAGAACCCTATCAGTAAATAAGAACACAGGCCAACTCCTTCCCAGCCAAAGAAAAGTTGAACAAAATTATCGCTCACTACTAGCACTATCATACAAAAAGTAAAGAGTGATAAATAAGAAAAGAATCTCGATTTCTCGTTTTGCATGTACCCAATGGAGTATAAATGTACTATCAATGAAACGGTAGTAACAACAATCAACATCACAGATGAAAGTCTATCTATACTAATTGCCCAATTTAGTTTTAAGACACTCAATGAAAACATAGGAAAAAGTTCCAGGTGATAGTTATCAGAAAACTTAAAAAACAGATACCAAGACAGAATTGCCGATAATCCAACTCCTGCAGTTGTAATCAATTGACTGAAGAAATCTCTTCTTAAAAAGGCTGCTGATAGCGAGCAAAGTAGAGGTAAAAATACAATTAACTGTACTATCATTTCACTCCTTCATTAGATTTGCTTGCTCTATATCTATGTTGCCACGCTTTCTGTAATATATCACAAGTATCGCAAGCCCTATTCCTGACTCTGCAGCAGCAACAGTCAGCACAAACATAACAAAAATCTGCCCAACTATGTCATTTATAAAAACAGAAAAAGCAACCAAATTTATGTTAACTGCCAATAACAGTATTTCTATTGATAATAATATATTTATTATGCTTTTACGATTGATGCAAATACCACATATTCCAACGGTAAATAAAATAGCAGCTACTATTAAAAAATGATTCAATCCTACTTCCATTCCATTCCCTCTCCGGATTTAGCTTTGATTAGTTTGACAGATGAAGATTGCGTCAATTGTTTCAATATATTCTGTCTTTTACTTTCTTTTTTCTTCTCCTGTAAGGTAAGTACAATTGCGCCAACTATTGCAACGAGTAATAAAATACTTGAAACATGAAAAGCATACATGTAATCGGTGTAAAGCACATTACCGATGGCTTTCACATTGTTAGAACTATAATCTATAGTGCTACCCACATTTGAAGCTGAGTTATAAATCACAAAGCCTATAATTAAGCAAAATGTAACACAAAGTATTATGCCGAGAATATAATGCTTTGCAAAACCTTTATTTAGCCTTACATCAAGCATCATGACTACAAAGAGAAACAATACTGCAACTGCACCTATATATACTATCAGCACCATCATAGCTATAAACTCAGCACCAAGAAGAATAAACAGTGCTGCGGAATTCACGAACGTCAG